AGGATGCAGCAACTTGGGCTAATCTAGCACGGCAATTCCTTCTGTTCGAGCCAAAAAGTCTCTCTCCATTGCATCCCACTGGATTTCAAGTGAAATTACATCACTTTGACTTTCAGCAGTGAGCAAAACTCCTCCAAGATTTACATGCTGTATAAATACCAAACAAGAATGCTGCTTCAGAACGAATCATCTCGCTTCCAAAAACACACACGCATACTTAATTTCCATGACTAATTCATAACGGAGTAGCTTCTGCATAACCCGACTGGGGCACAAGGCAGCAACCAGCTCCTTCGAACAATGTCATTCTTGCTGAAAGCAAGGGGAAAAGGGAGCATTTGATTCAAAGCCTTGTTGCTGTTTCTCCACTGTTACCAATGACAGCATGGCTTTGCAGAGCCTATGGGGGAAAGAGTGCTTTCAAAAGAGTGCTGCAAAGGTCTCTCTGGGGCAATTAGGCTCGCTGAAACCAGAAACCTGGGATGTGCAACGTTTATTTGGGCAAAGAGCACAGCGCATAAATGAGACAGTGACGTCATGAAAAGGATGTAAACAGGTGCTGCTTCAGTCTTTCTGAAGAGGGAGACCTCATGGAGCTTCCATTTTGCAGCATTTGGGTGGGTGGTGTTTCGACAATCTCCAAACCTTCCCCAACCCCCTGACCACTTGAAAATTGCTGGACCAGCTTAATGATTTTCCCTCCTGTTCTAGCAGTTGGAATGGGCTGCTCTAGATGCTGTATGATTTTTCATTGCATTTTTACAGAGCAGCTGAATGAAGCTCATCGGCCACAGTTTGAAAACCCCTGATCTAGAAGAATATACATTAAAAGCCCTTTCCCCCTCAGCCGCTTGAGGGCCATGTTCCTTTGGGGGCAATTTGTTGGGGGCCACATGTTGGTGCTGCAGGAGCCTGTGGAGGGCAGGGCTGGTGCCAAGGGAGGCAATTTTAGGGTAGTACAACCAGTGCAGCTGTATTGGGTGCTGCAGGGGGTGCCACAACAGTGCTGTAGAACTGAGCACAAGAGGTAGGGGTGCCAGATTTTAGCATCACACAGGGTGCCGCTGAATTTTGAGAGCCCAAAGTGCACCACACTCTCCTTCTGCCCCCTGCTTCCTCTTGTTCACCTGCTGCTTGCCCTCTGCAGGAACCAGGGCCATATGCAATGAGGCTGAGGGCCATATAGAGTCATGGGACTGCATACTACCCAGCCCAGCCTTAAAACACCTGAGGATTTCTCTCCCACCTTTTGATAAATAAAAGTGATCTATGTAAAAAAGAAATCTCATACGACTACAATGCCCCCTTGCAACTCATGGCAGGCACTGCTGTGACAGCATAGTCACCCATTCCCCAAATCCAGCTCTCATTAGGCTGTTCCACCTCAACTGACTCTCATTCCAGTGGATTCCTCCCATGGGCTGGTATATGGGTAGTCCATTGCCTAACTCTGTGCTCTTTACACTGTCTTAAGAGCAGGGAGGAGCAGCCAAGTGTCGCAACTGCATTTCTTACCAGCAGTATGCTGCAGCGAGTCTCAGGGTGGGGCCACATTCAGTGTTTGGGACCCACTGCTTCCTCATACACCATGAAGCCTCCCGAAAGAAGACTTAGTTAGTTCCACTTGTGCAGGGCTGGCTCCAAGTTTGGCAGGGTCTGGGCCACATGCTCTCTGGTAGGGGAGACCCCTGGCTGAAATGCTGGTGGGCTGCTGCCAGTCATCACAGGGACAACACTGACCTCGAGTCATAGAGTTGGAAGGGACCCTGAGGATGTAGATTAACCCCCTGCAATGCAGGGATATGCAGCTGTCCCATACGGGGATCGAACCTGCAACCTTGGCATTATCAGCACCACGCTCTAGCCAACTGAGCTATCCAGACCTAGGTGAGCCAAAAGGTCTGTCTCAACATAAGGCAGATTCCTCTGTTCTTATGACTACGAAATGGAAAAAGGTTGCCTTACCTCTGGAGCCAGAACCAATACACCGTAACCTCTACTCTTCCCTGAATTTGCCCTACCAACAAGCAGCTATTTGGGCTGCTGCTGAGCAGCTGATATATTTCAGGCACAGCCTGGTCCTCTGAAGCCTGCTTTCTTCTAGGAACTGGACTACAAAAAGCTACAAGAGCAGAATGCTTAGCAGCTCGCCATGAATCATGGAACTGAAAAAGGGGGAGAAGTCAGTGTGGAGCATCAGTTCACGCTGTCCTCTGTCACAGATGCTTTCCTTAAAAGTGTCAGAATAGATGACCTGGATGTAGGGAGCAGGGGAAGGGGAGGGAAGCCGACCCTGGCAAAGACCCTGAGCATCTTTTCACTGTATCATGGAAGTTGCAGGCATCTCACACGAGGGTCCTACATTGCTGCTTCTCTTCTGCTAATCCTGTTTAGGCAGGCATCATTTAACAATCTGGGCTCCCCCCGAAGGCTGCAGCAGCCAGCCAGAGGAAACTGCCCTGTCAATCTGAAAGGAAGCTGAAGGGCAGCCACAGCGCTTGTGTACAAAGCAGATTTGAGCCAGGGGCACGCAGATGCAAAAGAGAAGCGCAGAGCGAAAACGCAGGGACCCACAAGAGCGTTAACCCCATGGCCTGCTTTAGACAGCGATTCCCCTCTCAGCCTCTCCCCAGAGAAAAGCAGCTGCTTTAGCTCTGCCAAAATGTCACCGATCAACCTCTTCTTTTCAGCAAAGCAAATGCTGCCTCCCCATTCTCCAAGTCAGCACCAATCCAGATAGCACAACCAACAGTGCGCCTGCCAGAGTCTCCCAGCAAGTAAGCAAAGCGGTGGGCTGGCAGGGGGAGAAGTGAGGGGGCGGAGAGGAAGAGAGGAAAAAGCTGGAAGACGCTTGTCAAATCCCAATGCCTTTCTGTGTTAAATCTGTAAGGCATCCGAAAGATCCGATATGAGAATCTTTTGCTAGGGAGACTCAAGGGAAATTCCAGTAAGTTGTAATACTGAGTACAAGGCAACAATGCAAGTCAAGTTCCTTGGAAAGATGATAGACCTTCATCAGCTTAAGATCCATCTGTTTAAAGTTAGAATCATAGAATAACAGCACCATGCTTGCAGAGTTGTAAGGGACCCCAAGGATCATCTAGTCCAACCCCCTGCAATGCAGGAATCTCAGCTAAAGCATCCATGACTTTTAATAATAATAATTTTACTATTTATACTCCGCCCATTTGGCTGGGTTTCCCCAGCCACTCTGAGCAGCTTACAGCATATCTAAAATGGCCACCCCAACCTCTGCTTAAAAACCTCCAAGGAAGGAGAGTCTACAACCTCCTTATGGAGTCCATTCCACTGTCACAAGGATCTTACTGTCAGAAATCTTTTCCTGATGTTTAGTCAGAATCTCCTTTCTTGTAACAAGCTCCTTTCTGGTAACAAGCCATTGTTTCGAGTCCTACCCTCCAGAGCAGGAGAAAACAGGCTTGCTCCATCTTCCATGAGACAGGTTTTTCATTGTGTCCCCCACGTGTATGAAAGTATTTCAAGTCAATTGCTCACAGTGACAATTCTTAATTTCCTTCCACAAAGTAGGGGTGGGTGTGCACGTTTGGTGCAGGTGGGGTCCTTTACTGCAAATGGGGCACTGCCCCATCAACCTCAGACTGCCCCCACTTGCCTTCTGCCTTACTTACAAACAGTCCAGAGGATGTTACATGGGCTGCCACCTTCCTCTTCTTTAGCTGCCATTGTAGAACTCAGCCAGTCATTGGGCCAAGCTCTGCCAATAACTGATCTAGCTCCGCCTACTGTTGACCTCTCTTCCTTCTGCCCTACTGGTCCCAATGGGCATCAGTCACCACCACTGCTAATCCAACAGTGGGGTGGGGTGTTTCTTACAATTCTGTGTTGCACTCTTCCCTTTTGTTTTTGTTTTAAAGAAGTGCACTGTTACAGATCATGTGCGGAAGTTAACTTACAAGGGTTACAATCCAAGTTGGATAGTTTCCTCCCAGGGGTTCCACAACACAACCATAAACTAGTGAGAAATGAGTGCCGCGTCAAAAACACTCTTTATAGCTGTTGGTTAAGCTACAATTCCGGGCTTGTAATGCAACTTTTATAGATTTTGCAGTGTTTTAGCCAAATTTTTTAAAAGGCAGGATATTAATGTTTTAAAGGACAACAGAACCTACTTCATTGCCCTCCATCCAGCTGCTGCCACATGGCCAAAGCCCTATGCATGATGATCAAGCAAAAGGGAATTACAAGTAGGAAGGCATGTTTTCAGTTAATTTGCTAATGGCTACCCACATTGGTTCCATTTTCTGTAAATTACCAATTAGACCTGCTGTGTCTTGTTTTGATCAAGGGGTCTGTACAGTTGCTGGCCAAATAAGAGCTAATTCTTCAGTGCTCCATAGCATTTGCCATCTCAGGGTCCAACAGTGGCTTTAAGTACCTTTTAACAAAACAGGCCCAGCTCCCCGCTGGAGACTAATTCAACAGGAATTTCCAGGCCAGTTGGATGAAGTTTTTGATTCAGCTGTGATCAAGGGCTGTTTTCAGACCCCAATTTAAATAGGAAGACAAGCTGCTTGTATTAAGTATTATATAACTTGACATAAAAGTGGTCTATTGGTTTACACCTTCCGTATACTTATGTGCAGCAAATGAAAAGACTGCTGGACAGCGAACTCTGAGCAAAGGGAAAGCGTGGTCAACAACTGGCAGCTGTTTGTCACAGAGATTAGCCCATCTCACATGGTATGCTCTAAAACCACTTCTTGGAGGATTCTGACATGACTGAAACAGCATGCTATGTGTAAGCCCACTTGAGCCCCTGATTTAATGGTGGATTTCGACCTTTTCTCAGATCTGGCATTTGCCCTGGATTTTAGAATAGTTCAAATTAGATGTTCTTCTGAGCATCTTTTTGTAAAACAGAGGTATTGTTTACTGTGGCTGTGTTATGGTACAGACTGCCATTTTGGGGCAGCCTGATTATTTTCATCCAGCTCTCAAAACGAAGGACAAGCACTATATCCATCCAAAAATCATTTTTATTATTAACATAATCTTCCCATTGAGCCAAGTGGGTTTATAATGCATAAGGAATGTCGGTAAATATTCAGTCTTTAGCATCTTTTTACATATTTCCATTGATAAATAAACTCTGAATTCACATAAAAAAGTTAAACTTAAATAACTAATATTTTCTTTTCATTTCTTCTTCTTCTTTTAAACAGGCATACATTGGTAAAATATAAATATTCTTGTACACAACCTCTCTTCTAAATAAAGGCAATAACAATTAGCTACACATCACAGTTATAAACAACTAAAAACATAAACCTTTCGGTTAATTTGTCTGCTTGGACTACTGCAGAGATGGAGCACAGCAAATTTCACATTTTGATTCCGGGCCCAGAGAGGTTGAAAGACATGAAGAGAACGGGTCTTTGACAGGCTTGGTTAAAAATAGGCTGCTCTGCCACTGAATTTTAACTCGAATCTATTATTCTACAGTTGGTGTTTGATTCTATTTAAAGTTTTACATAACACTCAGATGTCACCTAATAAAACATGGCACAATACCCATTTGAACAATAGCGTCAGGCTTTAAAACTACTATGGGGCGAAGATGCAGGTGATACATGGGTGGTGGCGTGTGTGTGGTTCCCCCACACTTCTGGTTAGTTATTTCTCTGCATTAACAATAAGATGCTGTATCACTTCCGCAGTCAGAATCCCCCACAGTAATGAGCAGATTGCCTGTTTTGTTGCATTACCTCTCAGCCTGAAGAGCCGCCCTTCGAATCAGGAGGAAGGCTTACGCAGCATGCTTCCTAACATTCTCACATGATGATTCATCAATTTACCCGGACAGCCTTTCAGAGGACTCGAGGGATGATGGTGAAAGGGACAATGGGGCTGCTGGCCTCGAGCTCCAGCGCTGTCAGGAAGCACTCGGTTGCCGCATCGTCATTGCCCTGAGCTTGCAAAACCACCCCGAGGCCATTCCAAACCTCGTGAGCCGTGGAGTTCACCTGGACAGCGTCCCTAAGGATCTTCTCGGCCAGGCTGTACCTTCCAAGCTGGTGAAGTATCAAAGCCTGCAGCGAGCAGAGAAAAGAGTGCCATGGGAAAGAGGTTGAGGGAACGGCAATGAAATACTGCAAATTTAAAAAAGAGAAGAGCACATTCTTCGGTCAGGGCAAATGAGAAGACCATGGCAACAAGGCTGGGCCGTTACCAAATCCCAAAATATTTGGATTCTGCGCTCTGGGCAGATTCTGTAAGAGGAAGAGCACATGCTAAAATGGAAAATGAATGGAAGATGTATGTGTGCAGAGGCTGAGCCTCCGGTGATTTAGCTGAGAGGAACTCCTAAAGGGCAAGTGTAGGCTGTGCAATCCTGGAGGAAAAGGCAGCTATTCAACAGCACTTCTTGCAATTTTCCATTACAGTTAAGACAAGCAGTATGCATTCTTCATCAGCACACAAATAAACAGTTCAGTTGTACACATTAACGTGCAATTATTAGAAGGGAGGCATTCCACCTCTGTGTCAAGCAATTGGTAGGGAACCAATTTTTTTTTGGAAGAGGGAAGGACGCCCCCATAAAACAGGATTATTTTTCCCAATGGGAAGTTTCATCTTTGGTATTCTCAAATAAGGGCAAGCTTTTTAAACTCCTAGAATAATGAGATCATCCACCTATTAGTCAATTGAGGACTCCTTCCACTTCAAATTCTGGCAGGTAGAAGCTAGCCTTTTGAGAAAACAAACAGAACAGCAAGTGGCTATAAACTATGCTTTGTAAACATAGAAAACAAATTAAACGAGTATGTAAAGATCACGATACACTATGCATACATGGAACCACTCCCCTCCCCCCGGGACATTCACTCTAAGGCAAAGGTTTTCAACCTTTTTGAGTCCACGGCTCCCTTGACCAACTACATTCTTTCTGCAGCACCCCTGTGGGGCTCAGGAACCCAGTTGTGTCACCCCTTGCCTGCAGAGCTGGCAGCCTCTCACCCTTTGAAAAATACCCTTCCGTGTGGAGCGTTTCCTCAGCCTCTTCTCCCCTCTCCTTGGGAGTCCTCCAGGTAGCTGCTACCACCACCCCTGGTCTATGAGCTGCCCCCAAAGAGAGCTGCCTCCTCACACTGCCCCACAGAGTCCTGGGACTTGTCTGTCCATTCCCAACAGCAAGGGCTGGCAGACTGGCTGGCTGAGCTCCCTCACCTGCTTACTTGCTTACTCTGAGGCCGCCTCAGCTCCTGGCAACCAGCACCCCCTGGCCAGCCCCAGAGGCACCATTCGCCTGGGGAGCTTGTAGCCAGGGCCGCTGCAACAAACAGCTGTGCAGGCCTTTGGGAGGCAGAGATGCGAGAGGGCATCAGAGGAGGGAGGGAAGGAAAGAGGGACAGAGGCCAGCATCGCCCGCAACATCCGAGGGTGCCACGGTACACTGGTTGAAAACCACTGCTCTAAGGTATATAGAGGTGACAGTTCCCATTCTGTTGATTGTTCTTAATAAGCAGAATGTACTTTGGTGAGCTCTGTTTATACACAGTATACCTTTAAATAAAAAGAGTTCTTTTCAGTCAGCCACTATAGCTAAAGCATCATTAGATTTTATTTATCCTTCAGAATTCAACCATACTGGATAACTAGCATTTTTAAAAATAACAATGCCTTTATAACAACTCTGTGATGTGACTATGCTTGGAATATTAGTTTTCTAAATTAGTATTAAGGGGAGGGGGTATTCCAGCTGTATCAGTTGCACATACAGAGAAAGGTACAGGTTTTGTACTGACTGTGAGGACAAGGTTAAAAGTATATCAGCAAATAAATGAATCCAGACATCTCCTCCTTCTTAGGGATTTTATTGTCTATCTAACGGATTAAAAGGGTAGCAGAAGTAGCATGGCTGCTTCTCTAAAGGAAGCATGAAATGATCCAGGAAACTATTTATTAGTGCTTTCGTTTGAAGAAAGGGCACATGTGACATTTAATCTGTTTATTCTAATCAGGCAAGTGCTTTGGGCAAACGAGATAAAATCTTAAAAGCGGCATTCAGATTTGAAAATATGAATGTAGTAAAAAACAAACAAACCCAAGAGGGTTTTAGAATGCAAACATTCCTTGCTAATCCTTCCTCTCCACCTGACTCACAATAAATGAACTTTGCATTCAAATAATAAAAACTGACAAAAATTAATGGGTAGTCAAACTATATTTCTGTGTCAGTTAAGGCTATTGGAATATAATATCCATTCTACATTGAAACACAATATATTTTTTACATTATTGGGTATTAGTGATCCTACTTTATCTAGGATCTTCAAGAATTCCTCTGGTCAATGGCAAAATTACAGCTTATTCAAATAGTTCTAGATTCTACATCTAATATTTTGGGCAAAACTTCACCAGATAATTTATTTTGAGTTCTTTTACTGGTGGATTATTGATAAATATAAGGCACCATCTCTCTCTCCCCCAGGTCCAAATCCTAAATATGCCAGGAGAAGGCTATCAACAGAATATATTATTCATTTAGAGATGGAAGGGTTTCAAAACAGTTACTTGTTTCTCTTCTGAAGGAAAAAGAAAAGGATTATTTATTTATTTTTAAAAAGTAAAGTTTGCAAGTCCTCACAATAAAAGAATCGAACTGAAGTAGACAGTGGAACACTGTTTGTATGCAATGTATGTCTTGACTATGTTATTATGTTTGTTTTTCATGCCTGTTCCTGTCTATTTGATTGTACAATGCAAACTCTCTGGTATACTACATAAATGCAGCTGTGCTATAGTGAAAAGTCCAATCCTCATTGTTGTTACCCTCCCGCCCTGTCGCCCTCAAACAAACCTTGGAGCTAAGGTATTGAATTGCTTTCCCTTGCTGCAAAACTCTTGTTGCTAAGGGGAAAATGCTCTTCTGCTTGGCAACAGTGTTTTCATAAGGTCAGCCGTGGTTGTTGCTACACGCTGAACTTTATTTTGCTCCAAAACAACAACAAATGAATGCATGAAACAAGTTAGTGCAATTCTAGAAGAATTTAAGAAGAAAGCAGCTCCTTGCAGAAGAAAGAAAAGCTTTGTAATGAGGAACATTTGAAATGGAAAGAGTGTACGGTTTGTTTTAAGCTGCAGTGCTCCAGAATGGCAAATATGTATTTTAAACATGACAATCCACTGATGTTTCCACTGATTTCAAGTAAACTAATTAAATCAATTTCAAAAGAAACTAAAAGGGACCTAGATATATTTAAAGTAAAGAATGCACCAGTGCCGTTTTAGGCGCACCATTGGTCTAACTGGGCATGAGGATGCTTGCTGCGTTAAAACTCATCCTAAATTCATACTAGCCATAACAGCTCGTATCAAATGAATAAGAGCTGGAGTGAAATAAAAATATACTTCTATTTTATTGTTACTGAATTCTAAATCATTCTCTTTCTTGCTGAGAAATCTTTGTTTATTCCTTAAATGCCATGCTGATAAAGGGAGGCTCATGCTGCTTAAAGAAAACATTTGCTTTCCCCAGCCTCAAGCCCTCCAGAGGTTGTCAGATATTACAACTCTGCATGGTCCCTGACCATTGCTGAAGCTGAGGGAAGCAGTAGAGAAAAAAACATATGGAGAGCACCAGGTTGGTGTGTGTGGGGAGCAGGGGCATAGAAGGGAGGTGGGGGGGGACCGCCCCAGGTGTCCTCACTGAGGGGGGTGAGATTCAGCCGCCAACTGCCTGCGACTCCCAAGCCTACCCCGAGCCGTCGGGGTAACGGGGGGAGCTATGCTGCTTTGCTGGCGGCATCTCCCCCTTCTCCCTTCATTTTGACAGCTTTGGAGTTGCAGTGACTTGGGAGTCGTGGGTGGGTGGCATACTGAATGTCCGCCATGGGCAGCTAGCTCTTCCCCCAGCTTCAGGGCACGCCACTGGGGGGAAGCCAAACTATTTATTTACTTATTTGCTTGGAAGGTTTACAGTCGTACCTCGGCTTCCGAACGCCTTGGGAGTTGAACGTTCCGGCTCACGAACGATCGAAAACCCGGAAGTGTGTGTTCCGATTTTTAAACATTTTGAAGTCGAATAGACTTCCGGAATGGATTCTGTTCGACTTCCAAGGTATGACTGCATAGGCTGTCCTAAAGCAGAGGCTTACAACAAGGAAACAACTTGAAATTAAATAACAATATGGTAAAAGTATGCTACAGAAGAAAGACAAGTTGCAGAGAATTTTTTTTTTTTTTAAATCTTAAATAGATTAAAAGGCCTGGGAAAATAAGAAGGCCTTCATTTGGTAGCGAAACACCACCAAAGCAAGTGTCAGGCAAGCTTTTCTGCTGGGCATGATTCAGGTGATGTATCTTATTGGCCTAAAAATTGTGAATGCACAAAGTAGCACAATAGTCTACATCTTTTTGGCTTTGCACCATGGGCAGGTTGAAAAACCAAGCCCTGTGGCCCATTTTAACAAGATGTGTAATTGGCCTGCAGTACTGCCTCCAGGTTCTTACGGCAAAAGAACACAAGACCAACTGCTTGCCGCCCTTAGATATCTATTTCTGTTTAAATCATAACACTTCTCTTCAAATGCAAGTTGCATCCACCCACACAACTCAGCTGCATGAGGCCTGAGTCACACACGGTTTTAAAATGCATCTCTGCAACAGTCAGAGCTAGGAATTCGATCGCAGCAAAAGGAACAGGAAAAAAACCTTAGATTTTTCAGGAATCCAGCTGCACCAAAAAGCCAGAGTTTGTACAATGACAGGACACCTTTGTCAGTAATACTACCAGACAGTTTCCCTCTTTTTTTTTTTAGTACATCTTGCTTTTACATAGGTTTTCTTGATCAACTCCAAAGCTCAAGCACATCATTGACAATTTTTCTGCTTTTTGTATCATTGCTCCATTTATCACCCCACCTCAGCAGGACAGTTATTCATTTATTTCTCAGTAACTAATGGCTGGCACAAAATGAACATGGTGGCAGCAGCAGCAGCAGCAACAACAACTACTGTATACCACAATTATGTGCATTTGGATGAACATTTCTGCAGTTTATGAGAATGCTGGTGCTGTAAAAAGGCT